ACAGGTGTGACTGGTACTGCAGTTGATGTACATCTGGTCACACAGGTATTACTGGTACTGCAGTTAATGTACCTCTGGTCACACAGGTATGACTGGTACTGCAGTTAATGTACATCTGGTCACACAGGTATGACTGGTGCTGCAGTTAATGTACATCTGGTCACACAGGTATGACTGGTACTGCAGTTAATGTACATCTGGTCACACAGGGATGACTGGTACTGCAGTTAAAGTACATCTTGTCACCAGGTAGACTGGTACTGCAGTTAATGTACATCTGGTCCCCAAGGTATGACTGGTACTGCAGTTAATGTTCATCTGGTTTAACAGGGATGACTGGTACTGCAGTTAATGTACATCTGGTCACACAGGTATGACTGGTACTGCAGTTAATGTACATCTGGTCACACAGGTATGACTGGTACTGCAGTTAATGTACATCTGGTCACACAGGTGTGACTGGTACTGCAGTTAATGTACCTCTGGTCACACAGGTATGACTGGTACTGCAGTTAATGTACATCTGGTCACACAGGTTATGACTGGTTTCTGCAGTTAATGTACATCTGGTCACACAGGTATGAATGGTGCTGCAGTTGATGTACATCTGGTCACACAGGTATGACTGGTGCTGCAGCTAATGTACATCTGGTCACACAGGTATGACTGGTGCTGCAGCTAATGTACATCTGGTCACACAGGTATGACTGGTGCTGCAGTTAATGTACATCTGGTCACACAGGTATGACTGGTGCTGCAGTTAATGTACATCTGGTCACACAGGTGTGACTGGTGCTGCAGTTAATGTACATCTGGTCACACAGGTATGACTGGTACTGCAGTTAATGTACATCTGGTCACACAGGTATGACTGGTACTGCAGTTGATGTACATCTGGTCACACAGGTATGACTGGTACTGCAGCTAATGTACATCTGGTCACACAGGTATGACTGGTGCTGCAGCTAATGTACATCTGGTCACACAGGTATGACTGGTGCTGCAGCTAATGTACATCTGGTCACACAGGTGTGACTGGTGCTGCAGTTAATATATCTCTCGTTACAAATATTTAATAGTTGCTTCTTCCTGGATTTCAGATTGTTTATCATTGGGTCTCAATAACTCCGACAATCTCAGGATGATTTTTGTCTAGTAATTAGTGGACACGCTGACCTCGGAATGACTTGAATTTTATTTTGCGTTAAACTCATGTCACGCTTCAAACTCTTCTCGCGATCATGTCACGCTTCAAACTCTTCTCGCGATCATGTCACGCTTTAAACTTTCTCGCGATCATGTCACGCTTCAAACTCTTCTCGCGATCATGTCACGCTTCAAACTCTTCTCGCGATCATGTCACGCTTCAAACTCTTCTCGCGATCATGTCACGCTTCAAACTCTTCTCGCGATCATGTCACGCTTCAAACTCTTCTCGCGATCATGTCACGCTTCAAACCCTTCTCGCGATCATGTCACGCTTCAAACTCTTCTCGCGATCATGTCACGCTTCTGCTCCAGTAGTGTAGAGATCGCGATCAAACTCTTCTCGAACTAATGAAATGTGTTGTGTTTCTTAGCCGTGGCTCCTGCACGATAATTGTACCAGTGGTCTAACAGTGTTCCTGTTACCGAGTCTCTTGTAATGCTCCACTCTGATACACATATTCATGTACACACTAGACGATGCCTCTCTTATGCAGGCAGGACTCTGAGAGTACAGTCTTGCTGAAATGAGGACGCAGATGCCTACATATAACTGTCGTTATCATATCCCAAGTTGAGTGTGTCGAGACGGCGCACCTCCCTACACTATGTGTGTGTACCAGACTCTATTCTCGTGCACATCACTCTAGTCTCGTGCACCTACTTTAGTCTCGTGCACCCGATTCTAGTTTCATGCACCTGACTCTAGTCTCGTGCACCTGGTATTTCTAAGTCTAGTGTTCCTTGCAGACTTCACTAGCTGCCTCTACTCTCAATAACATTCACATTCATCAGTATTTCCAGCGTCGTCACTTGTGTAAACATGTTTGCGCATAGACAGCAACCACCCAGGGAGGTACTACCGTCCTGCCAAGTGAGTGTAAAACGGAAACCTGTAATTGTTTTACATGATGGTAGGATTGCTGGTGTCTTTTGTCTGTCTCATAAATATGCAAGATTACAGGTACGTCTTGCTACTTCTACTTACACTTAGGTCACACTACACATACATGTACAAGCATATATATATACACACACCTCTGGGTTTTCTTCTATTTTTTTTTCTAGTTCTTGTTCTTGTTTATTTCCTCTTATCTCCATGGGGAAGTGGAACAGAATTCTTCCTCCGTAAGCCATGCGTGTTGTAAGAGGCGACTAAAATGCCGGGGGCAAGGGGCTAGAACCCCTTCTCTTGTATAAATTACTAAATTTAAAAAGAGAAACTTTCGTTTTTCTTTTTGGGTCACCCTACCTTAGTGGGATACGGCCGGTTTGTTGCAAAAAAAAATTATTT